AAATCTGACTCATTCCTGCAAGACAGGAGGTCTTCAGGCTAATAATTGCAGCATGTAGTTTCCATAAAATTTACAAGGTTGGCTTTAAATTTTAGTAGTGGCAGGCTTGCAATAAATGCCAATGAGGTCCATCAAAATGAGTATTTGTGTGTGTCCTCATAAAAATAGATCAATCTTTTTAACAGACTCCATGCAGAGGAATTTGTATAATTACAGCACATATCTACAGCTTTAGAGTCCTTTCCACACCAAAAACAACATGCTAAGTCATAAATACAGCGGAAAAATAAACACAGGAACATAATAAAAGAGATTTGGTTGAGCTAAGTTGTTCTGTCTCAGCTAGCACGCTGTAGCTAACAGTTTCCACTAGGGGTGGGCAAAGGGATTATTTTCCTTGTTTGTCAGCTTCCTTCTCACCTTTGCCTCCTGCACTCTTGGGACAGCAAGCAAGTCTGCTCACATAAAGAAATGGAAAGGGAGAATCAGAAAGGAGGAACGGTTTCACCACACACACATACATTCATTCCCAGGTCACCCATTAACTCTTATCATGCTGGTCTTGATGGAAACACTCAGCAAGGAGTGAGAGAAGAAAAGCAGCCCAAAAGAAAGAAGAAATTAAGTTCGCACTCTCTGCATTGTGCCTGTAACTTTCTAGTTCCACAGTCACAGCTGAATTGTCAACTCCAAGCAATAAAATATAGTTTATGTACAAGACTCTCTACCATGCCAAGTTTCCACACACTTCAGCTGAATGGGAGGGAAGGCTGCAATTAAGTGATTCTCTTCCTAGCCCTGCCACAGCTCTCATCCTAATGAATTATCTACCAGCAGGGGAGAGTTGCAGTGTTGTGTGTCACGCATGCTCTTCTTCCAAGCTTACCTCTGCCAGGAGCGAGAAATGTGGTACACAGAAGCAGGGGCACAAAACTAGGAAAAGCAGCACTTGAAGAGCAAGATTCATTTCAGTGTAGTGCCCTCCCTAATGAGACTAGGACAGAGCTAGGTGTTTAAATACCTCAACACACAGGTGACCATTTAGTGAGATTTTCAATTACTCATCTCATAATGAGCCAAGAGGTAAGCAATTGAAAATCTCACTGGGGATGAGATTTTAAAAGCTCAAGAAGCATCTTTTTATTCCTTTACATTCCTAAGTATCTGCTCTAAAAGTCAGTCATTGCTTTCCAAGTTGACTTTGTTTTCTTTGTGTAATGTGAATAGCCATAGTATTGTATTGTTTTTAATTAGCTTAATGGATTCAATTTTTGTGCAACAGACAGAAAAGAGAGACCAAGTATGGGATCCAATTTTACTGATTTTAGGCACCTGAAATTAAGGCATATGGATCTTAGCTAACTGATCAATCTTCCTGTAGACATTGGATGGAGCAGACATCTCTGAGAGGGATGGGTCAGCCCCTAGAGGTTCCTGTTCCACTCCATTTACTACAAAGGGAGCATAGACAACAAGCTAATCTGGATGCCTAATTTGTAACAGCTGAAGCCAGATGAGATGAATTCCTCCTCCAGTGATTTAGCCAAAGGCAGAAAGAAAACAATAGGAGTGCAACACACTGATTTCAGTCTCACAAATCTCCAGCCAGTTGTTTAACCAATGAAGTGAACTTCCCACTTGAGAGGAGGTGTCAAAGGCTCTTGCCAAAGCAGTCCCAATTTTAACACAACAGAACACAATAGAAGTTGTGCTGACTAATAAGTACAGATAGAAGCTGGAGGGAACAAAAGGGAGATACAAGCCCAAAGCCTTTCCTCCAAACCAGCCAGTTCACAAGAGAAATGTTACAGCAAATACATACAGGTTGTATCCACCCAAGGGAAGAGTGCTGCTAATGAAAGAGCTGTGGGTCCCAACAGAAGGAGTAAGATATCCAAAGGTAAAATCAGTTCCAGTTTTGCATTATTCACATTTTGGTTTTACTTGTACCTCTGTATGACTTCATGCTTCCTAATGCTGTTAGTCACTGCAGTGCCTGAACCACTCTAATTCAGCTAAACAAAGCTCCAGCTTTCTTTTTCATAAAATTCATTAAGTATTTCTTTGATGGACCTGAGGAACCTGTACAGAAGTCATGCTTTGGAGGCCAGAAATTCAGGATTCAGTTTTCAAGTCTGTTGCACAATTAATTCTTATCTGAAAACCTCACTCACCTTCTCAGTTTCTCACAAACCTGACCCCATACTGGTAAAACCCTGGGCTCTAACACTTGTAAGTTATTTTCCCTGCTTCTTGTTCCCATACACAGAAGGTGACTGTCAGAATCCTAGCCATGCCCTCTCCTTCACATGAGCTTTGCCCAAGTGTTTTTTCATCAAACTTGGTCTGTCGTTAAAGGGAGGTTTCCGTTTCTCCCACCATTCATTTCTAGAAGGAGCTTAGCTCATCACAGAACAAGATTTTAACCTCGAAGACCATTACTTACAAGACAATACTCTGACACTTGCCTTTAGCCTGATGGATTGGCACGTGAGGGTGACTTCTCTCTAATTTCACTCTTTTCCTACAATTTTATCATTTACAGGATAAATAACACCAGGGCAATGGGGCATGTTGTATGTTTGTGTAAGCAACAGTATCCATTTTAATAGCTTTGAACCAAAAACAGATTTGGCTTAATTAAATAACTGCATCAAATCTACTTAGCTGCACTGCTCTACCACTTGCAATCTGCAGAGGTTGCTGTAGATGCAAAATCATCAAATTTCAGTATGGTTGCATCTTTGAGGCAAATGGGATTTGTTTTCCAACATGTTCTAAATCTTCTTTATAGTCCAGTAGAGTAGCTTTCTCTCTGCCCACACCCTGAATTCTTCTCTTGAATATTTTTACAAGCAGCTTAATCTTAAGCTGATATATTATTATTGTTTTATTTATGATTGCTGCTTTTCAGGAGATTTGAAAGCTTTTCCAAAATGACTGAAGACATGCCCAACAAGCAGATGTTTTGTCTTGGTAGACTAATGGAATGAGGTCCAGACATCAGGACAATGAGACAAACTGGAGAAAGAAGACAAATGCCCACATCCCAACAGTAGTATATTTTCCCTGGAACTGCCAATGCAGTGCCAAGAAGTATAGTCCTTTTTAGTCACATGGACTTTGGATATGAAATACTGTTATGGGGGAAGGAGGAGGAGAGCAGACCTGGTGTCATGTCAGACAAATTGTACACACAAAGTCATCAGCATTTATCTCTCACAGCCTAGGCTGCATTTTAACAAGGGAGTTAAAGATGAAAAGATTTCTGTTTCCATTGCAGATCCTTAGAGCCATCCATTTGCCCTATCATATGCTTACTATCAGAAACTGCTCTTCAAAGCAACAAAAACTACTGTACTGCATAAAATTGACAAAGTTAATTGTATGCAGCATGTTTCCTCTACCATAAGTATTCCCAAGCACCATTTGTTTCTGGATTTCACTCTTCTCTTAACTAAAGAACAGCTACATTATTGTTTCATCTGTAGCCCAACTGTTTTCTTTACATTTTTACCACTAAATTGAATCTACTGCCAGTAATCTAATTTACATTTAAAATGCACAATATGCCAACATGACCAGACTTCAATAAAATTTTTACTAAAACTCATAAATGCCTTGATTCTGGTGTTTATAGAAATTTTAGACTGTTCATTCCCCAAATGTTATGTCGCTAGCATCCCAAAATCATTTCCATATGAAATAAGAAACATTCTTAGATTCATGCTGCGTCAGGAAATACAAAATGTACTGTCACATCGCTCCCAAAATCAAAGATTTATCAGTTCTTAACAAAATAATTTGAATTGCATGTCCGGACTGCAGGCCTGCAGTAGCATGGGATATTAGCTTCACTCACCTGCTACGATTTCTTCCTGCCACACATCCTGGTCCCTGCATTTCAGATTACAAATGTTTTTTTTAAACACTGTTACTTCATTTATTTTTTCTTCCTTTGCACGAAAACTGCTTGATTTTGAAATAGTACAGAATCCCCTAGCACCCTTGTGAGCACTTCCCATCGTGACAGAATCTGCCCAGAGATATCTTTCCTGCAGAGCTACTTGACTATACCAGGAATATCATTCACTAGAAGTTTGGATTACATTTCTCTACTGGAAGCTAATCACCAAATTTGTAATTTTGGTGAAAACTTGCAAGAAATTCAGATACAATTGGGACAGAGTTTTTGTGGTGATCTTATTTTATTTTCCTTCTAATGTGGAAATGAAGTGGTAGACACAGCTCATTACTGTTCTTTCTAAGTATTTTGGCTTTGTTTTTAAAAAGAATATTTTCAGGGAGTACTAACTAAATAGAGAGTTAAAGTAAGACGTGTTCGCTTTCAATTAATTGACTTTCTATGTTATTTTGAAACAAAGTTAGTGAGATGTGTACAGGCATGCACATGTTCATTCACAGGGTTGGTCTGAGTCAAGCACTCAACTTTTTTGTTTGCTTGCTTCAGAAATCAAGCCTACTATGAATTACTCCAAAAGTTCTTCAACTCACAATATTTATTTATATCCTCCAGACAATCTTTGATCGTGAAGAAACTTTTTTCTGCCTGCATGTATCAGAACGCATACAAACTACAGCAACAGGATCAATGGTCAACTAGTCAATACAGTCATAGTTTCAGCCATACACTGCCCTACAGTATGAGCAATCTGATTCCATAAATAGCTGCTGGTATTTGGTATTTACTTGCCCCACACTATCATCTATATAAAGTTATGCTTTGAAATTAGGCTCAGAGATTGATATGTGCTTCTTGATCCAAGAGGCTGAGAGAGCACGCTGGGCCATACTTTACATCTCATTTTGAGAATTCAAGTTTTATATGCTGGCATTGCAGAGTGGGGTTTCTCTTCATTCATCTTTGTTGTAAGTTTCTGTATAATTAATGAATATAAATACGTTATAATTATGAAATAAACAAGAGAGTTAGGCAAAGCAGATTATAATAACAAAAAGAGAATAGATAGAATGCTTACCTGCATCCTGGGCTCACTGTAAAACTCCAGAGGAGGGATCTCCAGAAAAGAACCTTGTCACTGGCAGTCAGCTCTTAGATGGGTGTAGGAGAGGTGCAGCCAGGCTCCACCCCTTCCTGCAGCACAGGTCAATTGCCTTCACCTGTTCTGCCATGGGTGACTCATTGCTCACCTCAGGTGATCAATCAGAGGTTCAGGCTGTGATTCAGCAGTTCTCATACAGTTTCTTTACAGCAGAAAAATGCTGAAGAGAGATAAAATGAGACAGAAGCTCTCTCTTGCTTAGATACCGGACCATGCTTGTTTTGGGTTGAAGACAGATAGCAGCTGTGTCTTTCAGAGATGAATCAAATACCTTTGGGTAGGCTTTTTACATCATGTCTAAATGCATGTAATCAGGACAAGAAAAAAAGAAGAAAAAAAAAATAGACAGAAATACATTATATTGCTTAGAAATATCCCTAGTTCAGTTATGAATGCATTTTCCTATATTGAACTCTAGGACAGAATTCTAAGGGATCAATTCCGTATTTGGTGCATACCTCTAAATGCATGGTTTGGCTCTGAAGGAAGAAAGAAGTGAGAAGGTCTGGTTTTATGCATAACAGACCATTGCTCAAAGTAGTTCTCTGAAAATTTTAATAGGATTTTTGTGTACAATAGGATTGTTGTACTCCAGGGTGCAACTATTTATGTAAATATAATCATGCTATTTATGTAAGAAATTGAAAGGTTTACAGTAAGAATCAAGTACAATTTCATCCTGAAGGAGTAATCATTTCATTGAGAATACCGAGTTAAGGTTTAACATTTCCTTTTTTCCTTTTCCAAGTGGTTTTTGCTAGCATTCTTATTACACTCAGAACTACATAAAGTAAACATACATTTTAGCAAAGCCAAAACTGCTGTGCCAACAGAAAGCAATACCCTGCACCTGCTGAGAAAATCTCCTTTCCCAGAGCTTGATTTTTGCAAAAGTCCTTGCTGGGACATGGAAGATCTAAGTTATCTTGCCCAATTGGCAAACACCACAGCCCTTCTGAAAACCAGAACTCTGCATGCAGCTGGGAGAGCAACACCAGATACTTAAAATCATGTACAGATCTACCCAGGTTGTTTTTTTTTTCTGGCCTGTTATTTCAATTTCAAGCATCTGCTCCAATTCACCTGGTCTATGCAACAACAGGGTAATCCTGATCCACCTGAACCTTGAATCTCAACACAACCATGACATTAAGCATGTGGTTCCTTTGCTGAAGTACTCTTCACATTCACTTACTAGGGTCTAAGTTGATCTTAGTGTGGTCTTTATCCTCTCTACAGGCTATTTCAGCAGAGATTTTGTGGTTTCTTGAAGTGGTAACCTGATGATCAGGGCGGTAATGTGGCACACTTGCTTACTGTACCGAATGAGAACCTATGGTGCCTGGGAAGAATAATCAAGTAAAAAAACTTAGAGTGTTAAACCTAATGAAGTAGTTCCTTCTTATCCAGCAGGAGATTTCAGTCTTGGTATAAGCTTTCCAAACCAGATATTGAGGAAAAGTCGTATTAAAAGAATTAAAAGAAGAAATGTCACAACCCTACCAAGGAACAAAATGAGGCAGTTCCTGGAAATTGAGAATTAAACTTATAGCAGAGCTCTCTGAATGTCCAATTATGAAGGGGGTAATGAGAGATGATTGAGTGCTAGTAAGTACTTAATGCATTTGTATACTTATACAATATTGTACCAATATTTGATTACTTGGGAGACCAGGAGAGATGTTTTCCCCACTGTTCTGTTGGACAAGTTGATCCTGATCTGCTATTGTTTTTTTCCCTAACTCTGAAGCACTGAATTTACTGACAGCAGTGACAAGATATATAATCATATAATAAAATAATAGAATGGCTTGGAGTTGGAGTGGACCTTAAAGATCAGCCAGTTCCAATCCCCCTGATGGGGAATGGGCTGCCACCCACTGGTTCAGGCTGCCCAGGGTCCCATCCAGCCTTCACTGAAGGCAGTATATAGGCAAAGACTCACAAAGAGTTGATACTAATACTAGTCCAAAAGTTCTTTTTTCTTTTTCTTTTTTTTTTCTTTTTTTCTTTTTTTTTTCTGTGATAAATACTGCAAGAACAGTGGGAAATGTATTCTGCCAAATCTTCCTTTGAAGCTTGCAGCATGAGCCCAATTACCTGAATCTGTAGTTCACTTTCCTGGAGCATCCAGAGGTTCAGTTCTCTTATAATGATATTATCTGTCATGAACAGAACCAAAGCTATTGGGTATGGTGTTTTCTTGTACTGTCCTTTCCATTCCTCCTATAAAACAGATCTCAAATTTATTACAGGATGTTGAAGCCTGCTGATTTGCAGAGCACATGGAGCAGAAACTCTTCAAATCAGAGAGCTGGCTGCAGTAGGGAGACTTAAGTCAGCAATCCAAGGAGTGCTCTGCACATCTCAAGGCAAAGGACACTGGATTAATAAGCTTGATAGAAGAAAACTCCCTTTTCCAGAAGATCCACTCTTCTGCTTGGGAAGAATAATAAACAAGTGTTCAGGATGACCCCAGCCATAATAAACTATTGGTTGAAGGACAATGTGTGACAAAAATGTACAATAAGATTGTTCTGGAATTTTTAGCTCAGGCTATAAATTCTAAGACACATTTTTTACTAAATAAATAAATAAATAGAGAAGTAGACTAAATTTATTGGTAAATTTAGCTTAGATGACATGTTTTAGGATAGTAAGCCTCAAAAGTCAGACATCTAAGCACAAAACACATAGGTCTTGTTTATGATCCTGGGAAATTCTATCTCTGAAGGGATGTGGGGATCTGTGTGGAAATTCATATGAATATCAACTCCACCACTGTCTCTGAAGGGCAAGTTCCTCTCTAGACTGAGTACCAATGGAACAACTGAATGAGAGGCTGTAGAATCATACATCTGGGCACTCAGACAGCTACAAAGCTGTCCAAGCTGCTTCAAGTTAAGTATTCATACAGGCCACACACGTATGATGACTGGCTCTGTCAGTTTTGGAGAAAAAAAGATGTGCACGATCCAGTGGATGAAAGATGAATCTGGATATTTAAATCTTCAAATGAGACTCATTTGCCATGTGAGGGGATGTAAACTGTACTAGGGGGCTCTGGCATGGGAATGTCACCATGCTGTGGGAGGCCTTCTGACTCTGGAAACTGGAAACCAAGATTAGAAGGTTGGGTTTGTTTGTTTTTCCTAAAATATATGCTCTAGTTCAACTACTGTTGTTATTGGTCTTGGAACTGCAGTCAAGCACTCAAAGCATATTGTCACAGTGGTCTCTTTTGGTTATCAAAACCTATGAAAAAGAGAAAATATAAACAATGCTTTGGAGGTTTATTTTGCTACAAAACAAAACAAAATCCACCAATTTCAACATATATGGCCAATAATTAATTTGATTTCTTATGCAGTCCACCTCTTTGCCCTACTGTCAGTCTACCTTAGGGCCAGGGGCAGAGGCTGGTGTGCCCAACGCTCTGCTCCAGCACAGCACACATTTCCACTCAACAGAGCTCCCAGGATCAAAGCCTCAGACTGGAACAATTTACTTGACCTAAGGATTTTATATAGTCTCTGTGACTGCTAATTTACCTGAAGACTGAAATATTTGCTGTATGAGAAGAAGATTCAAACTTTTCTGTACCCTGAAAACTCATCTTCTCCATTCCCAGGGTGGTAGAGAAATCTCCTGTGGTTGTTGGTGCTAATGAATCTGACACAACTAAGCACTACTGACTCTATCCAGCAGAGGGAAGCAGCAAAAAGAGAGCTATATTTGTTGGTTTATCATTATAACAATTACTAAATAGAATAACTAGTTGCTCCCTAAAGAAATATATTCATAGACTGCAGCTAAAGCCAAGCTCCCAACAGACAGATTTTTTCATTTCTACCCATTTACCCGTGTAAACTGTGGGACATTTTATTACACAGAGATGTTTCCTCCAAATCCGTCAAAAATTTTAATATAACCTCATATCTCAGCAAGCAAAAAATAATCACCGCAGATGATACTAAACCTACACTTTTACCTGCCCCTGTAAAATTAAATAAAAAAGTAACAGTGCCACTATTGTGATTCACACATAATTGAGTGTGCCAACTAATAATCTTTAATATCCACTGCTGACAGAACAGAATTAACTGCATTTTTCCCTGCCCAACTTTCATTTTTTCTCCACGGTGTAAGCCAGTATCTAATCCCATCCTTATATCATTTTGGCTTTATTAACTCAATTGAGGAGAAAGTACTTAGCCTAAAGCAGTTTAGGGTGAGACCTCGAAATAACAATGTTTACACAAGCTAAAGATGTCCTTTGTTGAAGCTCTCCACTGATGCTTGCCAACAAAAGCTTTTCATGTGCAAAAGAGTCAATACCAAATTATAGTTAAGCCATGTAATAATTATCCTCATTAGATGTAACCAGAGCATGGATAGGATGAATTCAGTTATAAACTCTGCTAATACTCAGGAAGCATATTCTATATGTAATTTAATAATCATGGAAGTAAATACACAATTATTTCTGTTTTTATCATGAAGTCTACTAAAGCAGAGAAGCAATTCACTCTACAGTTAGAAGATGGATTTTTTTTGTTATTTTGGTGGGAGCTTTTGAATATTGTATTTAGGTGAGTCTAGCAGAGCTTCCTGAGAGCAAGAGAACTGGGGTACACTGATCCCTCCACCTTAAGTGTACCATCCTGGTGGGAAGATGGACATGGACAGGAACTTCTCTAGGAGCAAGGAGTGCAGATAGGGATGGAATTTCTCCAGAGCTGGTGCGAGGGGAGACAGTCCCTTGCAGAAATCTCCTCTGGCCACAAAGAGGTTTCCAGTCCTTCTCTCCCTATACTTTCTTACTATATCCTGCCTATTTTTGAAGATTGATCTCCTTTCTCAAGTGACAAGTGATAGAACTTGAGGAAATGGCCCCTTTTGTTCCAGTAGAGGTTTATATTGGACATGATTATTTTGTTTTCAATGAGAG